CTTCCTCATCACGCGGCAAAGCAAAGGTCACTCTTTTCAAACTTTCTTTATGTCGCTTACCATCTTCATTTTCTTCAAGGTCATTATCCTCATCCCTACAATATTAAAATACTTATTAAAGGAAATATACTATTTTCACTAGAAAAAAAAAAAAGAAACAAATTTTCCATTAACAAAGTTCTTTCTTTTGTATACCTAACGCAACCAAACATTCAGATCTTTCAAAGTCATTCAGTTAAAGAATAAGAGAAAGAATTTTGTAGGTGAAATACTATGTAGGTAATAGAATAGGCCAAGCACAGTGGCTTACACCTGTAATCCTGGCACTTTGGGAGAGGCCAAGGCAGGAGGATCACTTAAGCCCAGAAGTTTAAGACTATTCTGCACAATATAGCAAGATCCTATCTCTATAAAAAGTCAGAGACAATGATATACACCTGTAGTCCCAGCTGCTCAGGAGGCTGAGGCAGGAGGATCACTTGAGCCCAGGAGTTCAAGGTTACTGTGAGCTATGCTTGCTCCACTGTTCTCTAACAGTGACAGAGCAAGACCCTATCCCTCCCGCCACCAAAAAAAAAGAAAAAACAAAGAAAGAAAGAAAAATCTACTACTTGATCTCAGAGAATCTAATTTTCTTCTTCTTTTTTTTGAGACATAGAGCCTCAAGCTGTCGCCCTGGGTAGAGTGCCATGGCATCATAGCTCACAGCAACCTCCAACTCCTAGGCTCAAGCAATTCTCCTGCCTCCACCTCCCAAGTAGCTGGGACTACCGGCACCTGCCACAACGCCTGGCTATTTTTTGGTTGCAGCCATCATTGTTGTTTGGCGGGCGTGGGCTGTATTCGAACCCACCAGCTCAGATGTATGTGGCTGGCGCCTTAACCGCTTGAGCCACAGGCGCCGAGCCAGAATCTAATTTTCTAAGACAAACATATTAGACAACTATGAGCACATATTTGAGAATGGGCAGTGCTAGCTTACAATGTAAAGGTAAAGAATGATTCCAAATACTCACGTTTCAGAAATGCTGAGTTCTGTTTCTTCATCAGCAAGTTCTTCCTCATCTTTGTTTGAACCCAGTTCATCATCATGAACACTCACTGTGTCTC